CAGGCTTGAATGGAAGGTCCAGAAGGATATATCTTTATCTATATATATATATATCTCTCTCTCTCTCTCTCTCTCTCTCTCTTTCTCTCTCTCTCTCTCTATATACATACTTGTATTAGTTTTTGTTATATTTTAAGGACAGCTGAGGTATCTGATGGGCAACCTCGCGGCGCTGGAGTTGGGGCCCGACGCTGTCAACATGACCGGCGCGGCTCGGGGAGCGCTTCGGATCAGTGGAGCCATGGCTTCGGCAGCGGCAGAGGGGACAGAGCCAAAGGAGTGAAGGAGGCAAAAATGCCCCTAGGAGTTAAAGGGCGAGGTACCAATGAGGGGAGAGCGTTGTACATACCTGACGCACCTTGCGAAGCCCTGCGTCTTTGAAGTGAAGATGCGGGCTTTGAGGTGATTCCTTGATGGGCCACGGAGATCCTGCAGATGCTGGCCAACTTAGAGGTCTGAAGCTCGCTTTTGAACCTCAGCCCAGCGGCGAGTCTCGTTGTTTCACTTAGAGACTTAGATGTCTTGACCAGCGTCCGGTCAGATGGCAGGGGCCCGTGCAGGGCTGAGTGCTAGATGAACTTTGGGCGGGCTGACCGCGTTCCGAGGACTTCGTTGGGTGACGTAGTTGCTCTGTACTGGGATGAAAGGATAAAGGTGAGAGGAAGAGGCGTGGAGCCGATCGGATGCCACGTCTGTGCACACCGAAAGCGACACGAACTTCCGAACCGTAAGGAAGTTTTCCTGATCTTTTCGCCAGTCTTGAGGTCGACTGCTCTGCTCGCTCCACGACGAATGCTTCGGCTACAGCCGCGACGGGCCCTTGCGAGGAATGAATCCACGGGCATGCTTGCTCTGGACTCAGCCCGGCCCTGAGACCATGGATGAAATAAGAAAGGGCAGTGACGATGCTATCAGCCACGAAACATTCGGAATCGCAACACTTGTGATATCAATGGTGGCGTCGTCGTCGTCGTCGTCGTCGTCGTCGTGATCATCATCATCGTCATCATCATCGGCGTCGTCATCATCGCCATCGTCATGTCGGCACCGAACGTAACATCGCGAAGACGAACAGAGCACTTCCCGCCGCCGGAGCAGGAGGAGGACCAGGAGGAGGAGGAGCGAGGAGTAGCAGCAGCAGCAGCCGTAGCATTGCAGACGGCAGTCACAACAGCAAGTCTCAACACTCCCGGAGGTCAGGCCTTACAGGCCACGGGCACGGAGGCGGCCTTTGGAGCTGCGCGACGAAGATCTTGGCCGCCAGCTGAAACCAAGATCGTGGAAAGGGCTTATGGGATGGCTGGGTGGGTTCAGACATGAGTCAGAAGTCTCTATGGGCTTCCGAAATGTCGCAGACACGAAAGTCTCACGGAAAGCTGGGCTGATTACAGTTTACCATAATCGAAGCATGGCTTCTGTTGTGGCAAAGATCGACGTGGCTTCACGAACGTACGCCTAGCTCTCTCGAAATCACTGTTGGAGACAGCATGTAAGGCCGCCGAGCCACGGAATTGTACCTCTTCTGCGCCGGTGATGAAGGCCCGGAGGTTTTCTATGTTCTGGTCTGTCTTGCAGCTATCGGGAGGGTCTGATCTCTGCAAGCTGCAAAGATGTTGGAGTGGCCACCATCAACCCAATTTTACTATCAGCGACGTGGTGACGTCGTGCAAGTCATGCCAAAACATCATGCGGCACGCCGTGCCACATCTGCTTTGCTGTGTCCTACGCTACACCAAGCCCTGTGGCATGCTATGAGACGCAATGCTCTGCTCTACAATGCTCTGCTACGCTATGCTACGCTATGCTATGCTGTGCTGTGGCTTCGCTATGCGACGGGAATGCAGTTCCTGGTAAGGTGAACTGAGGCAAGCCGCTGTAAGGAAGGGCAGCGTCTAATGAAACTCGACTCGCACACCCCATACTTGAAGCTGCTGTGCTGGAAAGTGATACATTTAGATGCTTTTGGAAAGGATGGCATCCCGGTGGAGATGGCCCCAGAGGCTCGCAGTTTTTCAAAAGCATCTCCGAAGGGAACGGGGGCCGAGTTTCTCTGGCAGATCTGGTGCGGCTGCTCCGGCGCTTTTTCGAGGGGCCCTTGGGGCCTCGTGCCAGCTGCTCAGAGCTGCAACATGCACTTGTCCAGATCGATAAAAGCTGATCTTCGTCCCTGCTCAGGTCCGTGATTGCGGAGCAGTTTGCCACCTTGTACAGCCTGCATGCTTCTTTGTGGAGTTGTGAAGAGGTTGTCGCGAGATTTGGACCGTGGGCATGCTGAAGCCGCCTTCATGAAACCCACACTCTGTTTGGCCAGCTACTGCGAGCTGGGCATGATAGCACCGATGCTGTCATGGGCTGAGCATTGCTTCGGCCCAGAATGCGGATGTAGTGTAGAGTAGAAATTTGGGTCACGTTCGAAGCTCATGCGGTTCCTGCATACATGCCGGCGGGCTGGGATGGACGACAAAGCACATCTATGTGCATGTCTGTCTTGAATAGAAGTAAATCCATAATTACATACATTCCTATATAAATATAAATGAATAAGTATGTGTGTGTATATATATATATATGCAATTGTTACAAACAGCAAGTTATATATATTTATATATGTATATATGTGTGTATAAATATAAATATACATATAAATATAAATATAAATATAAATAAATAAATAAATAAATATATATATATATACACACATAGATGAAGGAAAGATGCGTACGTCTCTCTCTGTCACATGTACATGTATGCATACATGCGCTTGCATATCTATCTTGCTGTGCGCAGCTTCGACCGAGGATCGGGCTGGCAGGCTTCGCAATTCACAGCTTTACCTGCTCGCAAGCAGCCCGGTCCTCAGAGCCTAAGATGTTGAAGTCAAGAAGTCTCCGAGTGGCCACGGGTAGTTAGGGCTTGGGGGTTTGGTTGGAGGAAGTTACAAGGACTAAGGGCTCGGATTTCAAGATTGTGTCTTGAGGGCTTTGGGCGGAGTATCTGCCAGGTCGCACACCTGAATGTGCTCGAGGCGCAGGACGTGCGCGGATTCGGAGCCCATATGCGGTCATATTGCATCCACATTCGGTGCTTGGTATTGCTACTTATCTTGCCGCTAGGACTGATGCCACTGCTATATTTGTGATGGTGATGGTGGTGATGATGATGCATTATCACCACAGTAGCAATCCCTCGTATAGCCGAACATGCTGTCCGTTTTGTCCTCCCTTGCTCTCCTCACCCGCTTTGTTGAGATGCATCGGCAACTCCAGGAGACGCACAGGCAGTTGGTGGCGGTTGGGCAGCAGGCCTTGGTCGCAAGAGCATCAAGAGGGCTCACCAGCAGTAGCACAAGGTCTGGCAGCAGGTTTCGGAGAATGCGAAACGCGTGCAATAGCAACCATGGCCATGGTTGCAACCAGATGGAGAAACTGAATCACCGTAATCGACAGCAGTGCACACTTCGCTGTCACTTCAGGTTTTGTCACGGTGTCTCACCTAAACTCCCAAGCTTTATCAAACTTCCAAAAGTGGCGTCTCCGTGTCCAGGGCCGGGCTGTGGTGGAGGAAGGCAGGTCTGCTGGTGTGCCTTGAAATTTGTCTCCGGTAGATGGTTTGGTGTTCGGAAGCAGTGGCCGTGGCAACTTCCCGACATTTGGCTCTGTGCTTGTGCCACGGCCTGTCTGTGTGGCACAACCAAGACCCATTGGCGCGTCAGGGGTGCAAAAGGCTGGATTCGGATGAAGTCGGCGATACCCAGACTAGCAAGAGTCGTGAGACATGTCCCCAGGAGACCAGCAGACCAATACGGCCATGGTTGCATGGCATGAGGCGGGCACCGGAGGATCTTTCTTGCAAGCAGATGCTGTTGCCGCCTGTCATCTTGCAGGCGCGGCGAGAGAACTTGCCGAAGCCGCTGGCCACGCTAGGCCGGGATCTTGGTCTTATACTTCAGTTTGCTCTTCCAGTTCATGAGACATGTGTGACGGATGCCCAAGGTACCAGTCGAATGTTCAGCGTGTGACAAGGCATGTGCTGCACCTCGAAGTTGAGAATTCGTCTGTGACTCTTTGCAATTTATGTGCGCACATGGGCCAGCAGAGCATGTGTGTTTACGGTGCCACAGGGCTGGGAACGGAGAGGACTCGGATGACCGATAAAAATTCTTTATTGGACGGCTCAAGTGCTATCGCAAGCTAAAGTACAGCTGGACAGCAGAGCTGTACTGAGAGCACCTCAAAGAGGGCCTCAAAGGGGTTTTAAAGGTTGCTCAGAGAACCTTGAGTGGCAGTGCATGCTGCTTTAGACTTGAAGCTAGACAGCTACACCACTCAAGTGGAAAGACACATTTGTCGCTAAATCACTGCCAATGCAAGTTTTGAGTGCCCCGAATTTGCGGCGCTGCGCATCTTTGCCTTTGCCGTCTTTACGGACGCCAAGATTTCTTACCAACCAATTCATCACTTGCCCTGCGAGTCCTCAGTATCAGTATATGTTTGGCTGCCCCCTGCCCATCTATCCAGCCATGTGTCGAGCCATCTGTCTATGTATACTTGCGTTTGCTCAGCTCAGCGAACAGAAGCCTTGTTTATTGATGTATATACTAGGTAAACATCGACAAGCAGTTACACGTCGACTTCCACAGACAGGCGGATGGACAGGCGTTTTTGTACATAGGCTGGTCATGCACGTATGCATGCATGTAGGTATGAATGTATGAATGTATGAATGTGTGTGTATGTGTGTGTGTGTGTTTATGTATGTATGTATGTATGTATGTATGTCACGAAAACTAGCCTCCGGGGCTAGCCGAGTTTCTTATCAACCGAAGGTTGCAACAAGGGGTGTGGGGAAAGGGCCCCCCAAAACTGAGTCAATTGGTGCCGGTTTCCGAACTGCACCTGGAGCTGCATTTTCCCGGCGTGGCCGACCCCCTTCTTTTCGGGCACGAAAAGGGAGTGTTTCGGCTTGCCCTGGAACGGAGAAACGAGACGCAAATCACGCTCATGATGCTGGCCTCCCGGGCCCGGCCGGGTGCCAATGAAGCTCATGATGCTCTCCGCGCCGGCCCTGCCGGGCCTCAACGATGCGCATAATTCTTTTTGAGTGGCTTGCTTGGTTCGTATGATGTTCGGTGCTGTGACTGTTCCAATCCCCTGCATTGCAACAAGCATGATTGTCTTTCGGTGCGTTTTTTTGGCTCCCACACTCAGGCTCTTCCGCCCAGTCAACCAACATGAGCAAGAAAACTCCGGCCGGCGGCATGTCTTTCCTTAAAAAATAGCCCTTGAGCCATGCTCTGTGCCGGATGCAGACGTCGCGTCCGAGTCTCGTCCAGAAGACTTGCAGCTGAATCGTCGAAATTCGTCGAAAATTCACACCCGATGTCGAACCTCCTGAAGTAGCCTCGTTCTGTCCTATCATGCGCTCAGGACTCTGCCGGCAGTGCTTCGAGGATGGCCGTTCCATCATCGGCTTCCACATCTGCGAGGCTCCGAGCTCCAGCGATGAAGGCATCTGAGCTCGCCGAGGGGTTTTGGGGTCTGGGGTTCCCAGGAAACACTCTAATTTGGAGGCGCCGCAACCTCCGAGCTCCAAGTGCCGCTCACATCCTGCGCAGAACTCTAACTCCGGTTGAGGTTCCTGACGCCCGTTGGATGACGGGTACGAGGCGTCTGGGCCGACGCCGTTGGGCATAAGCTTAAGCAGGCCTAGGTTGCAGTTCCAGCCCGCCGGTCCTGACTTTGCAGAAGCCAAACTACAAATCTTCGAAGCCTGCATCCCTCATCCCTTTCAGCATCCTTCCCCGTCCTTAAACCAGGCTTCTGGCCGCCGCGCAAAACCCACGTAGAGTGGAGCTCTAATCTTTGTGTCGCCCGAGGATGGCTCTTGGATGACCGGCAGAAGGTCTGTGACCTGAGAGTGTTGGGGTCCCGGGTTTAAGCTTGGACTTGAGGGTCTCCGGAGTCACTGCTCCAAGCCCAAAGCTTACTAGCCGAATCATGCGTTCTTTTGGAAGATCCATGGGGTCTGCTGCCACCTGATCCAGACATTGCCGGGAAATCTCCACCCACCGGTTGTGAGTAGGTTGTTCTCCTGCCGCTGCAGGTTCGTGGTAGCCGCTGACATGGCAGCTGCCGGTCTTCACGAACGCTGCAACCTGCAGGCTTGTCGTGCACCCTGCATGACCCTTGGTTCATGTGGCATTGTGAAGTCCTTCGTGCGGTGTCTTCGTGCTTCCGTGTTGGACACATGCGCCGCTCGGATGCAAGCCTCAAACCGTGAAGTCCTCCTAATTTTCCGTTGGGGCAGCAACTTTCTGACAAACTTGAGAGATGCTGTGCATTTCAGTAACCCGTGTTTCCTCACCAGCTGGTGTTACAAGCCGGTGCCTCTAAAGGTCGGTAGCTGCAGCGGTCGCTCACCCCGCACAAAGCAGCGCCAGGCAACACTGCGACCTCCTGCTGCCGGTCGTCTTGCGGTGGCTCCTGGTCGTGTCTCCTCGTGCGCATGCTCAGGCGCGTCTGTTCCCCAACAACAGGAGCAACAGAAACTCAGCTCGGAAATCTTGCTCCTCCAAACCCTTCGGTAGACAAATTGTCCTGTTGCTCCTGTCGCACCTCGCCTGCAAACTTTGCGTCCTGCTCCTGCCTCGAGGAACCACCTGGCGGCAGCTGCGCCTGCTACGCGCAGCGCCTGCGTGCGCGGCAAAAAAGTCCGCTTGGCCGCCTCGGCTTCTCCATTGCTGCTCTGCCCTAGCTTTCGTCCCAGTCCCTCCTGCACAAGTATGTATGTATGTATGCATGTATGTGTGTATGCATGTATGTGTCTGTATATGTGTGCATGCATGTATGTACGCATGCACCTATGTCACAAGATATCTGCTAGTAACGAGACCGGTGTGAAAATGCAGATTGGAAGATAGGTTGGCACACATGCCATGTTTTTCCTGCGTGCGTGCACCTGCGCTTGAGCATGTGCGAACGTGCACTTGTATATCGTTCCTAATTACTCACAGAGGAACTTGTTCAATTAGGTACGTAAATACGTGCATGGAAGCACGTGCAAACACCATACTGACAAACAGATGGCACGGAGCCTCAACTCTACTCCGAGTACAGGTCATGAAAGCTTCCCCTGAGCTTCCCTGCCACCGGTACTTGCTTATGCACGGGGCTTGGATACAGCGCTCCAAATTCCTTGCCGACCATCGGGTCCACCTCGAACGAAGCCTCGGCCCGTCGGCGTGGTGCGAAAAACCGGTCAGTACCACTGCACTCAAAATCATCACTATTTTGATGATGATGATGATGATGCCGATGTCGGGGATGGTGATGGGGATGGTTGCGGTGGTGTTGGTGCTCCTCCTGCTCCTGTCCTGATGCCAATGCCAATGCTGCTGTTGCTGTCTCTGTGCTACAACAGCTACTGCTGTTCCACTTCTTTTTCTACTACTTCTCCTGCTGCTGCTGCTGCCACCACTACTACTACTACTCCTGCTGCTGCTGCTGCTACTACTACTACTACTACTACTTCTACTCCTGCTACTACTACTACTACTACTACTACTGCTACTACTACTACTACTGCTACTACTACTACTA